GTGCTGCTGAGCCACTTCCTTTCACTCCGCTGGAAGGGCCGATTTCTCAATGCTATGCAATGCTGGGAGTTGTAGTTTCACAAGGTCTCGAGCCTTTCCCTGCAGAAAGAATGCTATGGGATCCTGGGAGTTGTAGTTTCACAAGGTCTCGCCTTAATGCAGTTTGACTCCACTTGAACGGCCATGGCTCAATGCTATCTGTCTGTCTCATTATTTACCTGATTATCTATCTATCTATCAGATTATCTATCTATCGATCTATCTCATTATCTATCTATCAGATTATCTATCTATCGATCGATCTATCGATCTATCTCATTATCTATCAGATTATCTATCTATATATTGATCTATCGATCTATCTCATTATCTATCTATCAGATTATCTATCTATCTATCGATCTATCTCATTATCTATCTATCAGATTATCTATCTATCGATCGATCTATCAATCTATCTCATTATCTATCTATCAGATTATCTATCTATCGATCTATCGATCTATCTCATTATCTATCTTTCTCATTATCTATCTATCTATCTATCTATCTATCTATCTATCTATCTTATTATCTATCAGATTATCTATCTATCTATTGATCGATCTATCTCATTATCTATCAGATTATCTATCTATCTATTGATCTATCGATCTATCTCATTATCTATCTTTCTCATTATCTATCTATCGATCTATCTCATTATCTATCAGATTATCTATCTTATCTATTGATCTATTGATCTATCTCATTATCTATCTATCAGATTATCTATCTATCAATCTATCAATCTATCTCATTATCTATCTATCGATCGATCTATCGATCTATCTCATTATCTATCTATCGGATTATCTATCGATCTATCTCATTATCTATCAGATTATCTATCTTATCTATTGATCTATTGATCTATCTCATTATCTATCAGATTATCTATCTATCGATCTGTCGATCTATCTCATTATCTATCTATCAGATTATCTATCTATCTATTGATCTATCGATCTATCTCATTATCTATCTATCAGATTATCTATCTATCTATCTCATTATCTATCTCATTATCTATCTATTTGAATATCTATCTGTCTGTCTGTCTAATTAACTGTCTATTTCATTATTTACCTGAATATCTATTATCTATTTATTTGATTATCTATCTAATTATATATCTCATTATCTATTTGATTATCTATCTATTTGATTATCTATCTATTGATTACCTATCTGCGTGTCTGTCTATCTCATTATCTGATTATCTATCTAATTTAATATCTATCTATCTATCTCTATCTGATTATCTCATTATCTGCCTGATTCTCTATTAGATTATCTAACTATTGGATTATCTATCTATCTATCTATCTATCTATCTATCTATCTATCTGCCTGATTATGTGCCTATCTCATTATCTGCCTGATTATCTGTCTGTCTATCTCTCTATCTCACTATCTCTCTATCTATGTGATTATTGATCTGATTATCGATCTCCCTATCGATCCCTTACGGGTAGGACTGGATGGCCTTTGGGGGCCCCTTCCACTCCTTGCCTCGGTTGCCAATTGGATCCCTGTTAATGTTTCCTCTCTGGCTTTGGGTGGAGAAGGCCTCTTCCTCCTCCTCCTCCTCCTCCTCCTCCTCCTCCGAGGCTCTTGACCCCACTCTTCTTGGCCTCCGATCATCCCCTCTCCGCTTCCCTTTCCTCCTCCGCCCTCTTCGGATGATGTTTTCGACATTCGAAAAAGACTTGCAAATCCTGCGGTTTCTTCGGTTCTTTCGATGGCTCATCATCTTCTTCTTGGTTTGCTGAGCCATTGACTTTGACTTCTGTTCCAACTCCTTCCTGCTTGCCGTAAAGGGTGGGGATGGATGGCCTTTGGGGGACCCTCCCAACCCTAGGAATCTATCTATCTATCTATCTATCTATCTATCTATCTATCTATCTATCTATCTATCTATCCATCCATCCATCCATCCATCCATCCATCCATCTACCCACCATCCCACTCTCTCTATTATATATTTATTTTATCTATCTATCTTATCTATCTAATATATCTCATCTATCTAATCTATGTATCTAATCTATCTATCTAATATATCTATCTAATCTCTCTATCTAATCTATCTATCTAATATAGCTATCTAATCTCTATCTTATCTATCTAATATATCTCATCTATCTAATTTATGTATCTAATCTCT